ACATTCCGGATAATCCGGGGCCACAGTTCCTCCCTGAAATTGGAGGATTTCTCCGAATAAGCCAACACAACTCACCTGTGTGAATATCCTTGCAAAAGCAAGAAACGCACTCGATTAGACCTCCGAAAATATTTCTTCAGTCAACGCGTAGTCCGGACGCACCTAATTGGACTCGAAAATATTTCTTCAGCCAACGCGTGGTCCGACCTTGGAACTTGCTACCAAGCGATGCGGTTTCCGCTGACACAATTGCGGAGTTTGAAAGAAGACTCGATGTCATTCTATTTGAGAAAAGGCGGCTTTTACAACACGATTTCCTATTGCCGGTCAGGTTGTTACCTTTTAAAGTGTGTGGACGCGATCTCCCATAGCGGTAACAGTTTAAAGTTGTTGAGAACGGTTCTGTAAGTAGAGATTAGGTAAACCTAAATAGTACTCTTTCACACAAAGTTTTCAAGTCTGGAAGCAGCGAGATAATGTCACTATTTGAGGGACCAATGTAGGAATTTTAATTAAATAAGAAGGCGTTAGGGGAAACAAAAAGGGGTGTAATTACCAAAAAGTGGTGACAATCAACTATAGGATAAACAGTATTGTGTTAACTAATATAACATGTCTAGTAATTGGGGTTAACAATAATGCCAAAGGTATAAACGGCAAGACGATGCGTCTAGTGTTAGAGAAGTTGGCAGATGTTAATGATGTTAAGTGGAGGTGAGCGGGGGCAAAACGAATACCTACGGAAGGAGGTATACTTCCCGCAGGGTTTGCTGGTATCCATCGTGTGAGAGCCGTCATTTACCTCGTGGTTTGTGGTTTTACAGCAGGCACGGTCTCCGTACATCCCTTGTCAGCGCTCCTTGTTGTGTACCGAACACGACGTCTCTCACTTTAGCGTTGTTAGATTGGAGTATCTCTTCAACGACAGCCTTCTTCCAGGGTCTGCATGGTGCCACGTTGACGATTTGGAGTAAATCGCCTATTGCAAGTAGCGGAGCCTCACTGGTCTACTTTTTTGACATGCAATGAGGGCAGATAGGTAGTGATCCATCTTGTCCAAAACAAATCATAAAGCTGTTGAGCCTGGCGCCATCTTAAGTTAAGTATACAAGGACCACTTTCTTCAATTGATGATGAAAGGTTCCTTGTGTTCAGAAAAAATGTTCCAGAGTGAGAACAGCATATTAGCCAATACAAGCTAACATGCGGGTCCCTAGAAGCATTTGAGATGACGAAGATTTTTACTTCTATCCCTCAGGATCTGGCAGTCGAGACCGTTGAATGAATCCTACGAAACAAGTACGATTAGACGGAGAATCGCCTTGAACATGCGCAAATCCTGCAGCTCCTGAAGTTCTGTCTCAGGACGTGCTTCACGTTTGACGGAACAATCTACGAGCAGGTGAACGGGACACCGATGGGTTCACCGATTTCGGGACTCGTAGCCGAGACGGCTCTGCAACGGCTGGAGTCGCTGGTTTTCCAACGCCAAAGACAAAAATTCTGGGCGCGGTATGTGGATGACACCTTCGTCGTCATCGAACGGGATCAGGTGCTAAAGTTCAAGGAACTTCTCAACAGCGTCTTTCCGGGCATCCAGTTTATGATGGAGGAGAAAGATAACAACCAGCTGGTTTTTCTTGATGTCCTCGTCTGTTGCAAAGAGTGTGGTGGTCTAAAGAATAAAGTATTCAGGAAAGCGAGAAACACGATGCGAGTACTAAATTACAGCAGGAACCACCCAATCAGCCACAAGCGCAGTTGCGTAAAGACGCTCTATGGGCGTGTTGAGACGCACTGCAGCGAACAATAAGATAAAGTTACCAAGATAGAATACATTCGACGAGTGTTCAGAGAGAATGGCTACCCGCGCAACTTTATCAACCGGTGCTTGTGCAAACGAGATGGCCAACAAAGGTGCATCGACCCCAAAATTTGGCGAGCGATCCCGTGCGTCAAAAACATATCGGCAGGCTTCGACCGCCTTCTCCCACCACTAGGTTGACCCAATTGTGAGACCGTCGGCCGCCTTCTCGCACCACTTGGAGTTGGAGCTGCACACAGGCCGGAGGCAACCATAAGGCGTCAGATAATGAAGCCGAAAGACCACACAGGCCGGAGGCAACCATAAGGCGTCAGATAATGAAGCCGAAAGACCCACGGCAAGAAACATCTGGGGTCGTCTAAC